TCATCACACCAGGACTCTTACTATCTTAATTAAAATTTAATAATGAAGTAGAATGCTGAATTTCCTTGACTTCTCAAGAGAATTTAAAAAGCTACAACACTTACTTCACTAGGTTTGTTTTCCTGTTTGTAGTGTTATCTTTGTAATAATGTTGCTTATCTAAAGATAATGCAGAACTGATAAAAGAATTAGGAAAAATCTCAACCTTTTTTTCATTGTATATATGTTTTAATTTTGAGAGAGTGTTATTTTATGTACATATTTTTTCTTTATTTTACTGTGTTAATTGTTTACTTCAAGGAGTATTTCATAGTAGTACTTTTGGAAATTATCCCTCAAAATTTGTTTGGAAAAGAGGACTTACCAAAGGTAAACGTCACTCTTACAGCAGGTGTCTCATGTTAGTGGCTGAATGGTATGTTGTTGGCTTTTTTTATTATTACTTCTACGGGAAAGGCATTGTGTATCAACTAGTTAGAAGATTTATATTGTAACTGCAATAGTATATTAGGAGATAACATGGTATGATACAAATGCAGCCCTGTAGTCTCAAGATACCTCCAAATTCTCAGGTTCCAAAGCTTGTTGTGTATACTTCTGACATCTCAGGAAGAAAAGAGGCTGGGTGGGGAAAGTGAGTGCCTAGATGCTAAAAGGGGAAGAAAATGCCTGAGTAGGAATGAGAAGCAAAACGAATGTCAGTGCTTATCAAAAATGGAAATCACAGTGTGAAACTGAGCAGCACAATGTTTTTTACCTGTTGATGGGATTATATAATGGAACTACTCTGGGAGTGTTACCACACTGTGAAACATGTGGGTGCACCCTGCCCATCTCTTCTAATGTGGTATGACTCTACCCGCACCAGAATGCCCTCCCTACAAAAGGCACAAATATGAAATGTCTGAACATGTTTCATTTAATAATAAATCCTAATAATCAGATTATTTGCTTCACTATATTGCACTTTTATTGAGCATTCTTTGAAAAAAAAAAAGCAAAGGCAATCCTGCAGCTCTTTGCTGTATGAGAATGCTCACCTTGGAGGTCACTGGGACTGCTTGTGAATCCTAGTCTTTGCAGGTTCATGCTGTATTTTTGCAAAATGTTTTGGCTACCAAGAACATTACCCCATTTCTCTGGTTTTAGAAGTAAATGTGAAACCCTTAATTACAACAGTTATGGTTCTTAGAAACTGTGTTTCATTGCTCCTTTTGAAAATTATATACTGTGGTAACATTAGCTTGTCCGTCTCACTCAGTTAATGTTTGTGGTAATACATTGAAGCACCTTGGCTAATCCCTATGAACACAAGCCAAATTTCGTGCTTATATGTATTTTATGTGAGTAGTCTTCTGAATGTCAAACAGAGATCTTTCATTATATTACATATACATTCCTGTTTTCCTGAAGTTTTAAAAGATAATGTTTTAGGATTTTAACAAACTAATATTCTCTCCCTTGCCAGTGGCTGCTCAGTCTGGTCATTTAGTGATTGCCCCAATTACATGCCTAGGATGCAGTAGTCCCCTGCACAGATGAATATGGAGATCACATGTAGACTTGATTGCCCCTCTGCAGAGGAGTGCTATTTCAACCCGCTGAAATGTGAGCAAATAGATTCATGTTTTTTCTTCTTTGGAAGGATTGGTGAAATAGGAAACCAGCACATCTAAAATTTGGCTGCTACGTTTACAGATATTTAGGGCCAGTTCTGCTCATTGCTCATGCATATAACAACAGCGACTATTCCTGCAGACAAAGAAAGCAGATTCAAATGTAATGTCTAAATAAAATGGAATATATATATTCTTTCATAAATGACCAGTTTTGTCTCAACTCCTATTTCAGTGTGTCATTTATCTTAAGTAGATCTCTTCCATCATGTTATTTAGAAATCTAATTCTGATTTCATCTTTACAGCATTTTAAGTATCCTACTAAGCATGATTTTGTGGGAATTTGCAGAAGTTCAATAGCACTCGTTACTTATTTGCAACAGAAATAGACACGTTTGTTAAAAGCTAAGCAGAAAAGTTCAAAATGTAAAGATGTTTCGTTATTGTGTTCTTCTGACAGATTGTGTAATCCTTGTGTAATTTATGTCCTCAAAATAACACCTGTATCTATGCTCTTTCATATTTAATAAAATAAAACATTGTTGTAAAATATCTTTGAAATCACTGCTTATTTTCTTGCCTATTCGAACTCATTTCATGTAGTGGCAATTCTGCTGCCTATACTTAAGAGGAAACCAAAACCACATAGTCATGCTGAGGAAATAATTAATATTAACTTTGAAGTTCATCACTCTCTGTATTTTTATTTTGTACAGTAAGCTAAAAATTTTCAATGAGAAGAAGCAATATATTAAGAAGTCTGGGATCCGATTTGTAAAACTGCGATTATTTTTAAAAGAAATACTGCTGATAGACCATCTAGCTTGGTCAAACTTTGTCTCTTTGAAATGGGGACTGGGTGTGAGGTATTATTTGTGCTATGACAGTTTGGGACTCCCAATATATAAAAAAGGGAAAATGACTCAAAATGATGTTCCAAAATAAATAAGCTTCAGTTGAGGTGTTTATATCAAGCCACGTTTTGTAACATTTTCAGTATGTGGTATTATCATGCTTCTAGTATCAAAGATAACAAAGTACCCAAAGGTGTATGCCAAATTCTGAATCTTCTTGGTTTTGCTTTACAAAGTCTTGGCAAAGTGCTGGTCTCACTGAAATCAGTGTCGTTTCCTCACTGCAGAGATGTTCTTCCAGCTGTGCATAGGTAAATGAGTAACACTGCATGGCAGGCATTTAACAGAGAAGCTCAGTAATAGTCTGTTGCAGCCAACAATTAACCTTCAGTGTTTCAAGTAATGTAATACACTCTGATGTGTGCACCAGATGGATGTCTGTACATATGTATATACACACAATGGATGTGTTATATGGGTAATAGTATTCTTATGTACACCGCATATGTAGGTGTGTTTTCCAATACGTGGATTCTGTAGTAGTCCAGGAACAGAAAAAAAAATGCATTAGACACTTAAAATAACATGAAAAGCAATTCAGATGATAGAGAACATCAAAACAGTTTCTGCCCAGTATTTTGAAGTGTATTTGCAAAATAAAGAATGGCATGTACTTTACCGTGGAAAAAAACTTAAGTAAGAAAAAGTAAGTTTGTTATCTTGTAATACTGACTCCTTGTAAGAATGCATTTGAACTTTTTTGACTACTCTGATTGTCACATAGATATGACTCAGAGCACGTAGAGGAACTAACAGTTGTGCCTTGAACTGGTGACTGAGCACCTGGTGAAGGAGTGTGGATGGCCCAGGGGGGTACAGCCAAATTGTTTGCACCTGTTCCCCCTGTAAGCAGAATGGGTGGAGCCACCCTAGGCTTACATAAGGGTCAGCCATGGAGGGTAGAGCTTCTCTTGAATCTGGGTTGCTTCCTGAGCAGAGGTGCTGCATGGCCAGACAGCCACTTGAGTGTTGGGTGAGTTCTGTTCTTCTTTGTGTATGTGGCTGCTGGCCTACCCACAAATACATTGCCTGGTATCCCTAAGAACCTGTCAGAAGCAATTTTGCTTCTTCATAAGCAGAATAGAACATACAGTTCTACACCTGCTGTGAGTTATACCCAAAGCTTGGTACCTGACATCCACCTTACGCCTTTCTGGCATAGAAAGATTAATTCAAATGGTGCTGTGGGCAGATCACCATTACTAGTAGGACCATATTAGTTGTGACATCAGAGTGGGTCTTCCTTGCTTTTATCCAAAATCTATTGTACTGGCCAGAAAAAAAATAGTGGTTTTTGTACTCTATGACCATTCAATGTTGTATAAAAAGCACAGTCAGAAGGGACAGTTAGCAGATACACTTCAAAGATGCACTCCTGATTTGACCCGAAACAGCATCTTGTAGTAGAGTAGATAGATGGATGCCCACACATTTTTGCATAAGCCTTACAGGAAGCAGAACAGTAGTTTAAGTCATGTGCACAATAAAAAAAAAAAGTTTTTTTACAAGATATTTTACGAACACTTCTTTTTTTGGAAATACAAATTCTCCATCAACAAGATGGAAGTATTTTTACATGGGATTGGATTACAAACATAGTAACAATGGATGGATTAATGCGAAGCTCTTCATGCAAAAAGTGCTAACTTGTCCACGTTTTGTTCTAAAAATTGAGTTACTTTGATCCTACAATTAAGTAAGAAACTGACTGAAGTGAACCTTTCAGAACTACTGTGTAAGAGCATAGGAAATCCAGAAAGGTCACATACTGATCTTTGAGACTGTCAGTAGAATTTGCAAAGTGCTGTTCTCCCCTGCCAGGAATTGCTTTTAAGTCTGCCAATATACTTGCTTGTCCTGTTTCTCAAATAGTGTTCCCTGAATCCTAAATACTTAAAGGGAATAATAATTATGAAAAAAAATCCACAGAACTTTAAAACCAAGAACCAAAGTGTTTTTAACTAATTGAGTCTTTTTTTCAGAGAGGAAACCATAAGCACAACCATAAGGCTGTAAAATCACTCCTGAATAGTGACTTTTTATTGTCCTTTCTCCCCTCTGTGCAGAACCGAACACGTAGAATTAGACAGTGGAGGCTGCTTTAACCTTGACAATCTTCTACTCACATCATAATGTTTTAGTACAGGGTGAGACTGCTGTGCAAGGCAAACCTACTTTTTCAGACAAAAGTTCAGGAAGCAGTAACTGTGAAGCCTACTGCCTGGCAAAACTGAAGGACATAAGACAGTCTCTCCTTAGCTGTTTTTAGAAGAGACAAAAACAACCCATTTTGGTAGCATTAGATCAGTCAGAAAGGAAACATTCTGCATTTTTCATGACCATTGCTACTCTCATAGCAGTAACAGTTTAGTGTGGAGCTGTGAGTAGGTAAGGAGAATAACCTGCAGCACAGTGCAGCCTCAGCAAGCTCTGTGTTCCCCACCAGGAAGTCCAAATCACAGACAACATTCATGAAAAAATCACCAGTCATTTATTAAAATCAGAACATTGCTGTAATTATTATTACTCTGAAATTAAAGTGAAGTCAGGAAGGTTTTCAAATCCACCTTCTGGCTTTTCTCTTTTTCTTCTAGGTTAAGCATCCGTTTTAGCTTAGTAAAGTGAAATTTGGAGTTTCGGGGAGTCCTGGAAATGGAACTGGTTGTCAACTGTCTGGATACACAAGTTCTGAAAAAATTAAGACACAAATATCTTACAAGGTGAGAAACTGTAATTAATATTGACTACCTATAAATAATTAATATTGAGTAGCTGGATAAATGTAATATTAATTTTTTTGAATGTAAATAGTGTATTTTCATATGAAGGCGAGCAGTTGGAAGTATAGTTTTGTTATGCAAATTTCAAGCTGGACCTTCTATATTGATGACAAAAACACAGTTGTGCATTCTTGTGGTCACTTTTCATCAGAATCCTTAAGAACTGTGAAGTCAAAATGGATCTCCTTAACGGACATTTGGTAATCAATTAAAAGTTTAAGTGACAGACATACAATCGGTACATGACTTCTTTCCCAACAAGATGTATAACATTCTATTCAGTCAGGAACCAGTTAAAATAGAAATAGATACCTGTGGAGTGATGAAGGAGTGTTCCCTTTGGATCCCAACCTACTGTAGCTTGCAGGTGTCATTTTGTTTGCAGATTGGATTTTTACATCTGGTGTCTTCAGGCTAGATTCAGTAGTTGGAGTGCCTGAGTTGCAGGTCTTGGTAGCCAGAAAATCCCTGCTTTTACCATAATGTCTTGTTGTTTTGTTGCATGAGTTACAAGTAACAAGCTATGGAGAAAATAAAGTATCAACCAGTCTTTTCCCTTTTAGTTTTCAAAGCCATTGTAAGAATTATTCAAACTGTTCTCCAATTATCAGAACATACTTGCTAAAGTGAAATACAGAGATATTTAAAGGACACTATTTATACTTAATGCTTTCATTCAGACTTCCTAAGCCAAACCCATCCCATTGATTTATCTAGAGATGACTCCAATCCCAGAACAAAAAACAACACAACGCAAAACACCATACATCCAGTTCAGGTGCTATCTTAAATATATATTAGTGGTATTCACATTTTGCTGAAAAATGACGTATAAATTGATCAAAATTTATTGGCATGTTCTACATCTACTGAAGTTCTGTTACACAATCTCCAAAGTCTAGAGATAAAATATTAAACACTGAACTCTCAAAAATAGACATCTACAACAATAATAACAGCAAGAGGAGGTTGCTAATATGGCAAAAATACTTATTGCAATAAATAGGAAGTTTTATCCATCTTGCGTGTGTTTACTATGAGGACCCTCCAGCAGCACAGTGTGTGGCAGAGGTGCAGCAGAACAGATAACATCAGAGAGTCTCAGAGACTGCCAGACACTCCTAATACTGCTTACTACCATGGCAACCCCTCTTATTAAGGAACATGAGAGTAATACATTCAGGCAAGTTTTTGAGGCACATAGTTACACTGACTGAAAAACACTGGATGTTTCTAAATGCTCATGAAGAATTTAACGGAAAAATGCCCAAGTGAAGTGTTTTCAGGTAAGTGTTTTGAGTATGTCTGTACTGTCAGACTAACAAACTAAAAAAAGAGAGTTAATCAACTAATACAGCTCAGGTCTGATGCATTTTTAGCTCTCCTGAAATTCAGAGGAGAAAAAAACAACACAGCATCTCATGTTCATTTAGTACTCTATGGAATATAACTGCAGGTGAGTGCCTAACATGCAGGAATCAGTGGGATACCATAGCAGAGCACAGTTGCATTGCATTTCCTAAAGAGCACATACAGTTAACTCCAAAAAGGTATCATGGGCACAACCTGTGATGCTGTTGCTTGGATTAATTCTCAGTCATACTTGAATTCTCATTTTCACAAGGCTCAGGTATAAGATTACAGGGATCTACATTGCTAATTTTGAAAGCTGTCAGTTTCTGTCAGTATTTTAAATACTTAATACCAGAAAGACTTAAATCATAATCCACAGCACAAATGCAAACAGAACCTAGCAGAACACAAGTGCAGCAAATTGTAATTAACTTCCAAGATTAGAATATTATCCAGTGTTTAAACTGTCCCTATTTAAAACTGAATCTTAAACTAGTCATATGAATGCACAACACATCCTAAGAATCTCTCCAGCTATGGAATAAATTTAAGAGCCCACAGTAATTCCTTAGGATGCTGTTTATCAACTGTTTAAAGATCTGAATGCACACTAAACATTCGTGATCCCGCAGTAAAGAAATAAAGCTTCCAGCTCCTCAGAATAACCTTTTTCTTCTCTTTTTGCTGGTCAACTATGATGTAAAATTTGGGAAGAGTAACACTAAGGGTGCCTATCTGAAGTGCCCTGTTAGCCATGAGATCTGGTGACATCTACGGTATTTCCTCAGTTTGTGTTAATGACTCTTTAATAATTTTTGATTTAGCAAATTTTACTCCCAAAACCTGCAGGCTCTCTTCAAAGAAGGTGCCAAATGTGCCACAGCAGGGTGCTGCCTTGCTTACTAAGGCATCCATTCACAAATTATTTAAACAACATTAAATGCATGCTACCATTCTTCAAAGCATTACATCTTACAATCTTCAGTAATTTTAGGAAAAAGAACTGAAGCTCCACAAGCAACGTTAACTGCTTTAAATTCCATATGTGATTTAGTTTTGAAAGACCTCCTATACATTTTAATACCCAGCCACACTTCAAAAATTCTTTGTGTTTAAAACATAACAATGATCTTTTGTAGGCACGATCACGACATAAATGATGCCAAGCTTGTACATGAGCATGACTGATAAAACTAAAAAAAACCTGACAATCTGTCACTTAAGCCCTTCATCAGAGCTGAAACAAAGGTAATAAATGTCAAACTGTATCACTCTGGCAAAACCAGCCTTGCTTCAGTCAATGGTGTGTTGTTCTTCTCAGATATGTTTCGGGGGATTCTTAGGAATAGATTTCTAAGAATTCTAATAGATTCTTAGCATCTGCACTGCTGTATTGAGGCTCTGCATCTACTGGAGTTGCATGGCCCCAGTTTTACAAGTAGGAAAAAATAAAATACAAAACCAACAGTCAAAAATCTGCCACTTATGCAAAGTTATGCAAATGATACAGTAGCTGATAGTTAAAATGCTGGAGCTTCCAAGGAAGAAATCATTGAATTGTCAGCAAGATCTCAAGACATCTGCACAAAGATCACAAGAAATATGGAGCTGTTTGCATAGATTCTCTGATGAAAGGGGAGGAGGATGGGAGAGAGAAGAAAAGATTTCTGCTTTTATCATTGTCCCCTTGATCTATTGTAAACGGTAGATTTCATTTTGATTGTGAACATGAACAGAATCTATTCCAAAAGGAAAAGAAAAATTACATGCTTGTGAAAAAGAAATATGTGTGAGTTACACCTCTAAGAGAAAATTCTTCATATCTTCTTTTTTATGCAACTAAAAGGTTTCAAGGAAATCTCTAATATGTGGCAGTTTGAAGTAAATACCCTTACCAGAACACTTTTGGAGTCCCTGTACTTTTTCAAAAGCTTTATCTGTTTCATATTGAGTTTGTAATTCTTTGCCTCTCGTTTAAGAATTTTCTCAATCTGTGGGGTCACTTTCATCTTTGGCTTGAGCCGCACCCGGTAGCTGTCAGGAACCAGGAACTGGAAGCAGTAAGGACATACCCTCTCTTTTCCAAATTCTTCATCTACAGATAAACAAAGTTACAAGAGTAAAACTTAAGTAATTATGTTCTGTAGACAAACACTAAAAAGGGTACACTTTCATTTCAACAGTACCTAAGTAGTTGTGTTTTTACTGTATTTTTCATCTGGAACATGAGGACATGCTGAGCATAAGTAAGTTTTAACGAAGTTCTAAACCACAGCCTCCCCTGCAAGGACAGGCGAGAGAGCTGGGACTTTTCAGCCTGATGAAGACCTTTTTATAAGGGCACGTAGCAAGACAACGGGAAATGGTTTTAAACTGGCAGAGGTTAGATTTAGACTAGATCTAGGATCAGACTAGATAGACTAGATCAGGAAGAAATTCTTTACTGTGAGGGTGGTGAGACACTGTAACAGGTTGCCCAGTGAGGCTGTGGAACTTGGAAGGCTGTGAGACTTGGAAGATAACTTTAAAGGCCATCTGATCCAACTCCCCTGCAAAGAACAGGGACGTCTCCAGCAGATCAAGGTGCTCAGAGCCCCATCCATCCTGACCTTGAATGTCTCCAGGGATGGGCATCAGCCACTTCTCTGGGCAACCTGTGCCACTGCTTTGCTATCTTTATTGTAAATAAATAAAATTTCATCACATTCAGTCTAAACCTTCTTTCTTTTAGTTTCTAACCCTTTCCCCTTTTCCTATGCCAACAGACCATACTAAAGAGTCTGTCCCCTTTTTTCCTACAGCCCCAAGTGCAAGAAGGTGATAGTACCTCAGATTGGGTTGAAAACTTAGTAATAATAATAATAATAATACAGACTGTTAAATCTGAGGAGTGTGTTGCTGCACCTGCCTCAGCATTTCCTGCTGCCAGAGCTGCACTCAAGCAACAAAACACCTGGAATTCTCTGCATAGCAAGCGCATCATTCCTAACGCAGGCCCTGAATGTGCTGTGAGGACAGAGCAGAAGCGATGGGAATACGGAGAAAAGGGGGAAGTCAGTCCCCATCCGCAAAGCTACGCTTGCGCTGTCCGCACACCGCCGTCTGGCCCGTGTCCCTTACTCGCCTCGGCAGCTGCTCAGCGTCCACCTGTGGGGAAAACACACACAGTCAGGCCGGCTCCACCCGCCCCCCTTCCCGTCGCAAACCCCAGCCCGCTCCGGCCGCTCACAGCAGGAACCGCGCCTGGCCCGGGCAGGTGCCCGCCAGCTGCCTCGCGGCCGCCTCCAAGAAACGCGGCATCACGCCGCCCGCCCCGCCGGAAGCCGATGCCCGGCAGCTCCGGCGGCGCGCTGTGCAGCGCTCCGGTGAGCCTGGCGGATACCGCGGCTGCAGCTCCGTGGTTCCGGGCCCGAAGCGGCGGGCTGCAGGGCCTAGGCCCGGGTTTAAAACGCATTAAAAAGCATTAAAACGCTTTGGCTTTTCCGTGTTTGATTGTGCTTTGTTAATTCCCTCGGCCCCGTTCGTTTGCCAGACATGCTTTTACTTTGATCTGTTGGTAATGGTGCTCACTTAGGCATTCATCTGAGCAGGCTTCAGGATACTATCGAGGAATGTGAATAAATATAATTATTTCTTATTTTCCAACACTGAGTAGCTGAGAGCTTTAGAAGAGGGGAGAAAAAAAGAATTATCTGTGCTTTCTGTAAGAGGAGAGCTTTACAGTACAGTCAATAACTCGAGTTGGTAATGACATGTTCATAATGATGACAATTAGAGTCCCTGCTGCCTTTATTTTTGATTTAATATAAAATTTGGGATGGACTTTTTGACATTACTTCCACTACTTGTTCAGCCTGGAGAAGAGAAGGCTGTGAGGAAACCTCATTGCAGCCTTCCAGAATTTAAAAGGAGATTATAAACAGGAGGAGAATAATCAACTTGTTTCTTGGATAGATAGTGATAGGACAAGGGGGAATGGTTTTAAACTCAGGGAGGGAAGGTTTAGACTGGATGTCAGGGGGAAGTTCTTTACAGAGAGGGTGGTGACGTGCTGGAACAGGCTGCCCAGAGAGGCTGTGGATGCTCCATCCCTGGAGGTGTTCAAGATGAGTTTGGATGGAGCCCTGGGCAGCCTGGTCTAGTACCAGATCTGGAGGTTGGTGGCTCAGGGGAGTTGAAAACTGATGATACTTGAGGTCCTTTCCAATCCAAGCCATTCTATGCTTATGTGTTTTTTGTCACAGAGTTGATGACAATTTCGGTGTCCTGACTTTCCTGAGCCACAGAGTGGGAATGTCTCATAACACCTGTGTAAAACCCAACCTTCATCAGCTAATAGACTGTGGGCAAATAAAATACACCAAATTAATAGAAATGGGGGGAAATCGGAAGAAAAAAAAAAAGTCTTTTTGAAACTCAGATAATGAAAAATAATAGCATCACTTGGTTCAGGTGCTGCTCTGCCTTGGCTAACAAGCAATGTGCCACAATACTTAAGCACAGACTGATACAACACAAAGGGTTCACTTGTATATCTTTTCCTGTACCTGCTCTTGCCCTCTTCTTATCCTTTCTTTTTGCTTCCCCTCTGTCTCTTCCAGTCTCTCTGAAACACAAATAAATTTTATTCTTCTGCTCCTCCAATTGGGCTCAGCCATTCGTTTTCTCCCTCTAGTTCACTCTGTGTTATAGATGATCTTTGTCATAAAAGCAGTGCAAACAGCATCTCCCAGTGCCATCCCCATTCCGTGTTGCTTGTCCTAATGCATGCCTCGTGAGATGGAAACTGTGTTCCTCACGTTAGGTGTGATGCTGAATGTGCTACACCAATAATGCTGGAACCAGGGGGCAATAGCAATGGACAGCTTAGGGGCTCTCTCTGGGTCTGATCCTGCACAATTCCCTCCAGAAGTCAGTATTTCTGTGCACCCAATGCTGCCAGGGCCACATCCTTAAATTCCTCAGCTCCCTGCTGGAGTATTAGTGGAATCAGAGGGGAGAATTCACCCACATCTCAAGGCAGGCTCAATTCGTCTCTACCTTATCCTGGCTTGTGATCACCAAGAGCACATTAGCAGACCTATACCGCTAACTGCTTCCTGCTGCTGTTTGGTGTTCTGTAGTTAGCACGACTGACAGTCAAGCTGTAAATCTTGCTCGGTGTTCTGTAACAGAGGAAAAAACAGAATGATTTGTGTTGACTTTGGGACATCGTGCATCATTATTGATCGGAGGGAGGCAGTGAGAAAAGCATGCCGTCTATCTGTTGCTCGCTGCTCGTCCCGGAAGGTGGTGGTAGCTGGTAGTCAGTAGAGGGCAATAGAGAAATACGGTTCGTGGTACCTAAAGGATTTGAAACAGTGATTATGTGTTTACAAAAAAAAAAAAAAAAAAAAAAAAAGAAAAAAAAAAAAAAAAAAAAAAGAAAAGGAAGAAGAGCCGGGAGGATAGGTTGTTCAGTTTACTACTGGAGACCTGACTGTGACAGAGCGTCGGGAAAGCATTTTTAAGGGAGGAAGGAATTGCTACGGCAGCATCTCCGAGTCTCTCCTTTTTCTCCTCAGAGTTACATAGGATAACTTGGCCAGAACTTACTGATGACTGCACGGTCAGCGGAGCTGGGAATGGGAAATGCAGGAAGGCACTCTTTGGCAGGAGCAGAAGAGGAGGCATTTCAAAGATCCTGCAGGTGACCGAGGTGAGCAAACTAACGGCTTCTCTTTGAGTGAGACCATAGGTGTTCAATCAGCCGTGTAAAGTCATGAGCAAACGGAGCAACTGACATTATGAGAGAATTTTGTTTTTTATGGCACGCTGGTATAAGACTTGTTTTATCTTGGAAAAAAAGCAGACAGTGATGCTTCGGGGATAAGCACTTGTGAGCATATGGTATTTTGCTTAAACTGGTGGCTTGTTCTGTGTGCAACATTTTTTATTAGCACTGTTTGAAACACGGTTATCATTTTACAGTGTTTGTGGACTATACTTCCTAGATTCTAGCTTGCAGGGAAATACATAAAGGATAATATGAGACTATTTTTGCTCCTTTTAGAGGGGATTTTTAATAAGCTTTTGGAAAAATGTGGCTTGGAGATTTAGAGAAATTTATTAAGAGATTTTGAATGCGTGGTGAGAATGCTTTCAGATTTTCCAAAGGCTATATTGTCAGAAGGATAGTGAGAAGTGATAGCAAAGACTATAGCAGTAACAAAAAGAGTTAATCCACAGAAATAAGCAGGCTAATGGAAGGTCTGGGAGGCAGGAAAAAAAAAAAAAAAAAAAAAGACAACAACATCAAATGACTAAGTTAAGAATTAAGCATACAAAATACTTTTCTGTTGCCAAGATCTCAGCTGGTGTCACCATAACACTTGGAAATTATCCTCAGGATGCTAGGAGCCATTAAAGCAGTACAGATTATCGGAGGATAAACTTCCACTTCAGCTGCCACTGGTACCAGAAGTGACCAATAAGAAACATGTGAGAAATGAAAGATGAAGAATTGGAGCATTGACATTCTGGGGATATCACAGAGCAAGTGCAAGGGTATGTAGAGGTCAGTCAGACAGTACCTATCTGAAATAAGGCAGGATGATAAATAAAAGTGGTAAATCATATTCTAAAAACATACTATGAGCTTCAGAAAGCTAATTAAGGGAAATACTATCTTCTGTTCTTCCTGAACCAGAATTTATTTTGTAAGTGTCGTGATAGGTAAGGAAATGACATGGTGATTTGTCTGTGTTTTGTGTGTCAAAACGTGTAAAAGATTAACATGTTGATTGTTTGTTTATTCATTGTTTAGAATGCAGCTTCCTTAGAGCATGTGCCTGAGGCAAGGGAAAGATAACATATATAGAACTTGTCACTATTTTCTGTGGGTTGGCAACATCCATCTGACAGGGGAGGGACTCAATGAATATCATAATCCCCTCTGTTTTGAAACCTACAAGTTCCAAGTCCAATCTCCATTTTTTTTCTTTTCCTATTCCATTTCCAGTGCTCTAGATTTTCTTGTGAACCTACATATATGTTCTCTGGAGAGATAATAGAAATTAGCAATGCTCTTGAGCAAAAACCCCAGAAAGAAGTATAACTGCAGTTTGAGGAAATCCATATTTGTGTACCAACCTCTCTTTAAAGCAGTCTGTGGTGGGAGTGATTAGTTCCTGACCTAAAATGACAAGCTCTGGGACATTCTCTTACAGCTGATAACTATTTTCAGCATAATTAACACAATTACTTGGTGGCGGTTGCTGAAGAGTTTTCTCTTGGGTTGTTGCATAACAGGTGTGACCAAAGGAATTCTTATAGTGGGGAGCCACACGGATTGGTGGCTGGGATTGAAAAAATGGAAGATGATAGTGTTTTTTTTGTGTGACTCTATGGTATGTGTGAGGCCTTTTTCAGATCAGCTTATGAAGTGGTAGAGAGGGTGCCATGCCCACACTAAGGACCAGGCTTTGAATGGCAGGCTGCAGATGTGCAAGGAGCCTTGCTGTGTGGAAGTCATGGGACAGGCCATGATCTGGATGCAGTGTCTTTGATGATGTAAAAAAAGTAAAAAGATGCACCTTTGCCAGTCCTGTGTGAGACTTCTTGCTACCTTGAGGGATGAGAAATTATTTCTTCATCTTCATTTACAAAATAGTCATCTAAAAGGGTAGACATTTCAAGCAGAAGTTCCACTTGCAAGAAAAGGTGTTGCTAATATGTTAATTATCATGTTAGCCTGCTTGCTTACTGAGACATGAAATGGTCCCTACTGTTAGGAACATCACTGCGCACAAGAGTTTGTCCCAAGCTCTCCAGGTCATTTACTGGTGTGCTGCAGAACAACCCAGGGCTGCTACTTCAGCCTTTTGCCAAAATAGGAACGCTTTGTTTTCTGATGAGTCATCTGAGTTTCACTCAGATCCTGTAAGATTCCACCACCCTGTTCTTCCTTGCTGTGCAGTCCAGTCCCTTCCCTAGAGGCCTGCTTTCCTGGCCAAGAGATTGATGGCACTCTCTCCAGCAACTGTTGGCTCCCTTCCTTAATTAATCTTGAGGGGACTGCTCATGAAAGATA